ATTTGGTAGAATTTGAATAAGCAAAGTTTATTTTTATAATATTAGTGACGAACATTCTGTCGTTATTTTGCAAGGGAAATGTTCAATTAGTATGGATTGGTCATCACTAACCCCGAACCAATAAAATAGCAATAAAAACTTCGTTTTGTCACTAATTTCCCTCATAATTCCCTCGCTAAGCCATTTCTAATATACCCATGAACATCTTAACAACAATATAGCGACAAATATAGCTCCCTCACTAAAAATCTATCAATGTTCCTTAGCGGAGGTCTAAAACTCGACAACGATCATAATTCGTTCGTAAATTCATCACTAGTTAATGAGAGATTGCAATCTATCAAAGATTTTTGTCATTATTTTTTGGTTTTCTTGTAGTGGTAATATTAACCTAAATCAAAATGTGATGAGACTCTCATATGGAGAAGATAAGTATAATGTTGCGGATCTTTATATAGAATGTGTTGTTGATTTAGCAGCTATATATCATGCTACTTCTAGAAAAAAAATTATTATGTACAAAGGAAGAGACTTTGGCAACGTAAAAATGAACGATAATAGTCATGCCATTGTTCGGCGATTGATAATGTGTGTATAAAATCATATACAAGTTGTATACTAACTTAAAAGAATGTGCTCGCATTTATCGATTTACGCTTGAATATGATTTCTACACATGTCTTGAACATTTTTTGGATACTACGTATAATTATTTTGATGGTAGAATATGAAAACTCACCAAGAAATTAACAATTATTGATACGGATAATATTTGTGATAAACTATACATGGCAAAAGTTCGGTTGATCGGACTTGAAACGAGTGCGATTAGCATAGAACTTCTCTAAATCCGTAGTCTAGAAGACAAGATCAAGTGAATGAAAAAAGATTGGCAAAATAAGTCTTGTGTTACATTTACCAAGGAGATTGACATATATGAAGAAGTATTAAATGAAGAACATGGAGTCAATATTGAGCCAACAAATAGTAATGATGATGATATAGATGTAGTGAGAGGTAGTAGGGGAAGAGGCCCCTTAAACTCAAAATGTAAAGTTTCAAATGGTTAAGTCTACTCGGTTAGTATCATTCTTTTATTGAGAATTCTAGTTATAACAATATTTTGTTGATGGATGAGGGAGAGTTAAATTATTTTCATAATATTCTAACTTATGATATGGATTAGGAATCAAAGGTTAATGATCGACGATGTCATTAGCTTTGTGAGGTAACCGAAAAATAGTTAATGATTTTCTAAGATAAAGATTTTGTTGATATGTCGAAAAAGTTAATAGCATGCAAGAAGAATATATTACGTGCTAGTGTAGATGACGTGAATTTTGAATTATTGATGAATTAACACCCCCCTCTCATAAACTAAAGGAGGAGGTTTATTTGATATATGCTTATAGGTCCGATCCATGAGTGGCCTTAATGTAGCCCAATAAGAAATTAATTAGAAAAAGATTAATTAGGAAAAAATTGATGATAAAGAGGAAAATGACTATTGTGAAACTAGTAAGAGAGAGTTTCTTTTCTTGTTTAGTCGACACATGCATATGAAAAAAAAAAAAAAAAGAGTTGTCTTTCTTTATTTGCACAATTGCCAAAGAGAGCAATTGAAGGAAAAAAGAAAAGAAAACAATCATTTTTCTTAATATTTTGAAGAATTATATAGAAAGGAAATAATGATTTTTTTGTGTATAAAATGATATTCTCTAGCATTGATTTTTTTAGTATTACAATCATAGAAAATTGCGGTGTTCAAAGAGTGATCTCACACAATATTAGAATTTTCTCCAACATTGATTTCTAATTGCATCTCATTTGTTTCTAAAAGTATTTGAAATATTTTATCTATTTTTTTTATCAATTTTTGACCAAATGAATTTTTTTTTTTATCAAAATACCCTTGATAGAAATGCAAAAGATAAAAATAAAAAATAAAATTGTAAAGACTTAAAAAATGAAACATGTACGTTATGTGACTTTAAGTGTTTTTTTTAAAGAGCATTTTGGTCAAAAAAAATATTATGATCGAAAAGACATATCAAATATTTCAAAAATTTTCAAAAACAAATGTAATTTAATTGAAAATCTAGAAACGAGATGAAAGATTTTAAGTGTTATATAAAAATATATGCTTGTTAAATATTGTAAGTTTAAGGCTCTTCTCCCGTGAATTCACCTTATTTACCTATTAATTTTATTTTGTAATATGGAGATGACAATTTATAAATGCAGAATTTCAGTTTGTTTAAAAAAAAATTACAAAAAAGCTAATCACATACGTGACAAAAAAATATTATATATTTCATAATGACGCTAAAAAAGACCCATATTGCACTTATGTCTTAAACATCTAAGCAAATGATACGAATCAATCATAGATCTGTCCACTATTGAAGCCTAAAACACTACATTCAGAGAGTCTTCTACCCTAAACTAAGCTATAGGGAAAATTTTCAATTATTTTAGCTGTCGTCAAGGACTCGGAATGCCCATTGATGCCGCCACCAAACATTTTGGTCGAATAAACAATTTATTTTATTTTAATGATTCTAATAAAACATGTCAAATGAGCATCGGACCCACATGATCGGTAAATTAGGTGGCTCTTTTGTCATGTTCTGCTGCCTGCATATAAACAATGTGGGAAAGGACCATTTCCCTTTCCATGACCGCATATATATGCCTGCTAAGGAGGTTGCCTGTCTTGAGTTTTATCTTCCATTTTTCCCTCGCCTGGAACTCATCTCCCTTTGCAATTATGTCCTTGAACCAGCTTGGCTAGAACTAGAAGCACGTAAAGGCAGGTATCTTAGAGGGTTTGTCAAATACTTGTAGGAAAAAAAGCACGAGATATTATTATCTATTAACAATGATCATTACTATAATTAAAGTAATAATCCATCATCCATATACGAATTGGCTAGATGATTAAAAAAGTTTATTCTCGTTTTTTATTTTTTGAATTCAAATTTTGGAATTAACACTTTGAAAATTTTATTACTTTTTTTTTCAATATATTAAATCGACATGGAGACTATAACATTACAAAAGAAACTAAAATACATGATTGTTTCACTATTTTTAAACTGTTCACTCTCACTCGTTGTTTTTTTTTTTTTTTTTTTTGTATCTTTGTGTTATAAGCAGCCTCTCTTTTACTTTTAATTACCATAACTGTCATTCGATGGATTTGTGAAAATCTATAATTGCCATTGACTTGTTTTCATTTTAATTTTCTTCTTTAACCCTTTTTCATCATTTCACCTTTTTTCTTTTCTTCTGCAGTATAAATAGTCTTCTCTTTCACTCATAATTACATTTATTGTCACTTAGTAGATTTGTGAAAATTCATAATTACCCTTAACTGATTTCTTTTTTATTTATCTTTTAGTGCCTTTTCACTAATTCACTTTCTTTTTCTGATAGAGCATTTAAAGCTGCCGTCATTGCCTTTTTTCTTCTTTATTTGGTAGGAATGAGTAAATTGCCATTCTAGAATAAATTATAAATTAGTCCCTCTTTCTTAGTAAAACAAATTAATTAGTCCATTCGATTTCAAAAACTAACGTTTTTGCCTTTTTTTCTACTTTTCATTTTTTTTTTTTACTTTTTGTTTTAAGAAAGAGAAAAGAAAAAATAGATAAAAATATGAAAAGATTGATGAGAAAAAATATTTAAAATATAAAAAGGACAAAAGTTAGTTTTTGAAATTAGATGGACTAATTAATTTGTTTTCCTAAGAAAGAGAGTAATTTATAATTTACTCTAGAATAGCAATTTACTCATTCCTACGAAATAAGGATGAAAAAAAAAAGGCAATGCTACTGTCTTACGAAATCAAATGGACTAATTTTTTTTTCTTTTTGTTTTAAGAAACAAAAAAGAAAAAAATAGATAAAAATATGAAAAAGATTGATGAGAAAAGAAAACATTTTAAAAAATAAAAAAATAAATTAATTATAGTCAATACTGATTAAAAAAATTAAATAATTATTTTTTAAAATCAAAAGTACTAATTATCATGTCATAGATTTTATCATCCATTACTACAAATGGGTACATTATCATGGTTACTGCTACCATTTGTGATCGGTTACCACTAATATTGCCTTCATTATGACCACCCTTTAGATTTTTAAAGAATAGAATTTATCTGTTCGAAATAATATAAGTAAAAAGCATGGAAGGATGCAGTCTTTTCCTTTTTCCTTTTAAATAAATCGATTTACCTTTCTAGAGATGGCTGATTTGAATTTGGAATCTACATTTCGGAGAGAAGAGGTAGCTACTACATATTATGTCAAAACCTTGACTACAGAAAATTATATATATACTATTTAATTATGTTGTCTTTAGAGGTTAATAATTTATTTTATGGCTGGACTGCATTGGGCAAAGCAGAAATAGCATTAAACTTGTTGCATGCAATGCATGCTTAGCTATTTATAAAAAAATATAGAGTAGCAGATTCAATAATCATGAGATTCCACCAGAGATTGCAGTCCCCTCAATCATGAATAGTGGCCCTTCTCTCTTAAAGCATCAACGTGGAAGTCCATAAAATTGGACCCACCTAAGAGAATCTCAACGTAAATAAATACTCCATAAATCCCCATCCAAGAATTTTTTTTTTTTTTTTTGGTACTACATTAGGTTAGAAGAGGAGAGAAAAAACAGATTGCATGTGTGACAATAGAACTAACAGAAGAATTTGTTAAAGAAATACTAATAAAATGGGGCCTAAATTTCCAGGCAGGCAGACACCAACCATTGTCATTTGTCACGCCTGCCATTAGAACATTTGACTTCCTAACGTGCGAAATATTAATTTACACCAGACAATGCAAGCTCAGTTTTTTTGTTCTTTCTGCAGTGAGCAGATGGTTAACGAAATCACTAAGCTATCAATACATCTAGCTAGAATTAGAGTCTCGTTTGAAAGATGACAGTAATATCATGAAAAAATGGACATGTTTTGCTATGGTAAGTCAACTCTCACTGGAATCGGGACTGGCTGGAGAAAGCTCAAGAGAAACTGGACAATGGTCGCTCCCATAAAAACCTGTCAACAATCCCAGATGAGGGACACATATTTTATGTACTGGATGTTGGAATAGATAAAATTGGTAAAAAAAACTGAGGCATGTATTCACATTTTATAATGCTTTCAGTTCCTTTACATCAGTTGAAGAGATAGGCTGTTCATTTTACATGCATTTTGCCGCATCGTAAATGTCTTTTAAGAAGCGCCTTTACTAGAAGGTGTTCATTGGAAATGAAAAATGTTAACATGAATGGAGTTCAATTTGAACTCTTATTTCTTTTGCAGATGGTTAATCAATTTCAATAATAGGATCAGGCATGCACTACCATCAAACCACACATGCCTAAGATCTCACTGTACAAACCAACCACAAAGGATGGGAGTAAAGGAGGCCTCTGCATTGCAATATCTTCTGCTCAGTGATGAAACTTGGCTTGGCTTTGCTAATAGATATAGTGAGGGTAGTTGCACAGTGAAGTCACCATGTCTTGCCAAATAAAAGGACAGCAGGGAACCCTCTGGTTTCTATTTTCAACTCATTAAAATGATGGCAAGGGATTTTCTAATTCAATTCACTAGTCCTCAGTACTTGCATAGCACAAGGAAAAAGCATAAAGAAACATCACCTTCCATTTCAATTCCATGCCCATGCATCTCACATTGAATAATCCTATCTTTGAGTTTCTCAGAAATGATGAAATAATCAATTCTCATCCTTTTTCCTCGGTACCTACAAGACAACCACTCATCAGGTAATACAAATCATTCCCCACAACACTAAAGTACGAGCATTGTAATGTATATTAAAGGTACAGTTTTTCACAATCCAGTCATCAATGGCTCATTTTTTCAACAGCACTATTTACAGCATATATTTCCTATGCATGCTGAGTTACTGATCCATATAACACTTGTTTCTTACTTTCCAATGGGGTTTCCAGACCATGAGAAGCCACACTCCATGTCCCTCTCTTTGTGCAGAAATCTGTATGCATCTATCAGCTTTCCCCTAAAGCACAATGAAGAAAGCACAAAACTAAATTAACTAGGAAAAATAGGAAAAAGGAATCTTTCACTCAAAGAACAAGAATTAAACTTTGACCAATGAACCCAGTTTCAGTGAGATAAAAAAGATTATGTGGAGATGCATAAAATATCAAACACAAAGCACTGCAACTGTATGTGACTGTTTGGGAGAGAAGGAAAAGGAATTGTCAGTACCGGCTGCCATTGGTCACTTTTAAGCAACTTCAATCTCAACAGGAAAAAAAAGGAAAGAAAAAAAGAAAAACAATGGCATGTTCATGGTTTCAGCATCATAATTGCTTTTTAAAATCACAGAGGTATGTATCTTTTAGTAGAATCACACACTCTTTCAGTATGGCACCAAAGCGCTTCCTCTCACTCAAGGTAAATCCAGGTTGTCCACAGTCCTGCAACATCAAAAAATCAAGCAAAGGAATTTCTGTTAGTAACTGCAGGGATAGAGAATTATAATAAACATTTGGAACCCAAAAGAGTGAATACGTTCTTTCTCATTTCAGCAGCTCGTCTTCTTATCTACCATCTCTTAACATTTTGGTGTTGAGAGGCAAGTTTAGAAGATTGTGGTGTATCAAATTATGAATGGGAAACTAAAACAGGCCAAACTTATTTCCAGAAAAAATACTGGCACCTCTTTATTTGGAGGAACATAACCATTGTGCTTTGCTGCACTGAAAAATTCTGGATGACTCACATCTATCTCTTCATGGCTGCATATTGAAAATTAAAAATGAATTATAAGCTCACGAATAAGAATATTGAATGCATTTCAAGAAGCAACAATAATTGCATGAATATTTTCTTGAAAAATCATTAACAGGTTTCTTCTCATAAAGAAAAGGGTAAATTTTACCCAAAGAGGAATATTTTTCTAGATATTTGCAAAATATAAAGTATATTCTACCTTCAATCTCTTTCCTAGTCAAAATAGGAAATTTATATTTCTTTTTAGAAGTTCAACTCTATTTATGATTAGGAATATTTCAAACTTATAAACATGCTTGTAGTCTTTCAATTTCAGCAGTTTATGTCTCTTGAAAGTGCGATGCTTTCTTTAAGGACTGATTTCTTAAACCCCTAGGAGTGATGCTTGGGTTTTTCATTGGATGAGTGATGCCTTAAATCTAATGCTGTGAGACTAGAAGTATCTGCCTCGGTTTTGGTTCTATTTTACTTTCTTTCAGATCCATTTTCAATTTATAAGTGTCCCTAAACTCACAAAATTATATAACTCCTCCCTATAAACAACCATCTACAACTTGCCCCAAACTTGTCCTACATCTTTGTCTGATGCAATACAGCTATAAGATATTGTTCAAGCATCATTTGATTTATGATTTTAAGACAAGATATGGACTGCTATTTTATTTACTTTATCATATCATACAACTTTATATTTTGACAGGCTGACATTTCTTTATACCCCAATTGGTGAATGAAAATGATCCTGTACTAGCATGTGCTGTTCTAGAAAGAAAGATGTGAGGGTCACAGGTGCAGCACTGACAAACTTAGGTCACACACCAATATTCAAGTCAGTACATCCATCAAGATCATTAAGTAGTGTTTAAAACCAACCAAATAGATCATAAAATAGCTGGAGCCTTGAGCTAATAAATAGTAGTCAAAACACAGAAACACAAATGCAAAACGTAAACAAACAATTGAAAGAGGGGAAATAACAATCTCTCCTCCAATGAAAAAGAAAGAAAGATGAACAAAAATAAAATAAAATGTCAACCTAACATTCAGATCGCCACACCAGATAAGAGGCTTATCTGATAACCGCACAACAACATCTAGCATTCTTTTATCCCATTTCCTTCTCCTTTGAAATGAGTTCTCTTCCTCTTTCCAACCATTGTTTGGAGCATATGTATTTAGTAAGCGGAATGTCTCAAATTCAGCTAAAATAACTCTTCCATCTGGTTCATGCTTTGAAGCTAAACAACGAAAGACAAAGTGTTTAAGAGATTGTCACTTTATATGCAGAAGGAGAGGGCAAAAGAAGGAAGGAACTAAGGAATAGGTGTGCCGTGTGCACATGCAAATTGGTGTAAAGTAAGCATTCTCTTATTATATTGGACATAAGCATGTACTCTGTCCTGAGAAGTTTGACATGTTATAAATTGGCAAATGCATACAATCATGGGTAATATTGAGCACACACATACATAAGAGTGTGTTTGAAGATGGGTGTTGGATAGTAATATTGCTTAATGAAAGGAAGCAGTTAGGTCTAATAAATGATTGTGAAAGAGCCAGTGAGAGGTTCAATCCAAGCAACCTGTTCGGTCAAGAGCAAAAGAGACCTTTACTGGTTGAAAACACTTCTTTACTAGTAATGCAGTCCCTGCATACTTTGAATCCGCAAGGGACCACCAAACACGATAATTTCCAAATGGTGAACTGGAAAGAGCACGCATCAGCAGCTGCATGATTTGACAAAAACTAATTACAGGTTATCATTAGAAATTTGAGCCTCATACACATCACTTGCAGTAAAATTACATGAAATTGTTGTTCCTAGATAGCCCAATAGTAACAATACTAACCAATGAGTGACAATTTATAGATCAGAAAGCATGCTAATTGTTCATTACAGATTCAGTATTAAGTTAGCATTTTCAGAAAATCACCAATAAATATATAACTGAGAAGTCCTACTGAGATATCGGTAATTTTCAGAAGTAGCAGGCCAATTTCATATTGGCATGTTAAAACACAATCAAGTGTTTATCAAAGCTTGAAAACTTCAGAACTTGCATGAGGTGATAAGGCAAGCGATGATCCACATGACTGAAAACCAAAAAAGTATGAGAAGAAAAAACTATGTCTAGGAATGTTCAACTGGCACAAGACAAAGCTCGATCAAGGATCCGTCTCTTTGGCACGAATACCCCACATCATTCTATGATGAGCACATTATAACACCTCAAGCTTGAAATTGATCAGCTAAACAAATAAGTCTGAAATAAATTCATCGTGGCCAGGGCATACCCTTACCATTGGAACCAAAAGAGAAAAAAAAAGAAGAGAAAAAAAGAAGAAGTTAATGTTGAAACAATTGTCTGTTCATATACACAGAGTTGTCTCATTCTAGTAATATAAACAAATGTTACCTGCTTTTCCTCACGGGAAGAGCTTGTATCATCTTTGATCTCTCCAGGGTTTTTTGGTGCACCTTTCGAGCCAGCAGCAGGCATCCTTACTTCCTACCAATAATGTTCAGTTGGACAGGTTATCATTCACAAACTTGTCAAAAGTTCATTCAACTTAGGATTAGCATGTGTGTAAGACAAATTGATGTGCCATAAATGAGACTTGAACTATGATCCACACAAATGAAAGAGACCCAATAGAGAAGATCACTAAATACATCTGAAAATGAAAAGCTCCTTTCCCTCGTTAACTCACTAGGGAAAAAAAAATAAAAAACTTTCTTTCAGGATTTTCTTATTACTGGTCTTATCAGGCTTAACCTTATTTTTTAGAGTTAATTATAAAAGTTAAAACCCCTTTGAACAACTAAAAACTTGAAAGTTTCTAACCTCAAACACTCACATATGCACACACAACTCCCTTCAATTTCCTTGGACACCAACTAAATCAACACCAAACTCAAAAGCATGCAACATCCATCAAACCAAATACGACAAAGAGTAAAAAATCAGATAAAAGATTCCACCTTTAGACAATAGGAAACTAAAAGATCACAATGCCAGACATTATAATCTAGTCTAATTCATCAATGATCAAAAACCCACTTCACATTTACATTCATTAACCAAATTCCCATACCAAACGAATCAAAATATAGAGACTTTGCGTGCGTTCGTCACCTGTATGGCAATGACATCAGGATCAATGTCAGACACAAACTTTGAAAACTCGGGCCAGTTGTTCTTGACTCGAAGTAGCAAGCTATTAGCATTCCAAGTGACAAACTTTAATGCCTCTTTCTTCTTGGTATCGCTGTTGTTGTTGGTCTCCTCTGATAGTGAAACCTCTTTCGTTTCACTGTCCTCTTGGTTTGTGGATAGTATTGGTTTCTTTGCAGACCCATCTTTCTCTATTGGCTTGAAAAAGCGTTTCATCGTTACAAGCTCCAAACTCAAAATCCACTCTCACTCTGTAGTTCTCCTCTAGTGGAAGCCGAAAGTTCTGTGTATATACATACATTGGTTTTTGAGTAAATAAATAAATATTGATCATTCCTAAATTTTCAGTTTCCAAAAAGAACAAGACTATCCAGGTTAGAGAGATAATGGGCCTTAGAGAAGAATATTGGCCTTGCAACTTCGTTTTAGAGATGGGCCTTAATTGTGCTTGTAAAACATTAAAAGACAGACAAAGTTGAAGAAAACGAAGAACAAGAAAAGAAAGATTAAACTATAACCATAGGCCTAACTTAATTTGCAAACCATAAACGTTCATTTGTAAAGGACTTGCATAGCTGCATTGATGAACAAGACACTATATTGTGAGTTTGGTTGCCTGAGGCTCAATATTTTTTTAAAAAAATTATGATTAATGATGTGTTGTTTGTTTTGTGAGGGTACTAATGATGGTACTATCAACTATCAAGTACTAACTATTAGGGCAGTATCTAAGCTGCTGCCCTGCCATCATTTAAAGGACAATGATAGAAAAATTTCTAAACTCACTCTTTTTTGTTAAGGTACTTCAGACACTTGTTGCTGTTGACCTGCATTAGTAAATGTCATAACAGATACCGATCTCTACGTCAGCTACTGTGAGTGTGAGTGTGAGTGTGACATTTCATATTGATGAATGACCAGTCTCCTGTTCTGTTTTTCCTACTGCAATAAGTAATAAATAATTATGTGTTAATTATGAGCTAGCTATGAAGTAAGAAGAATGGTATGATACTGAAGTCTTGGTCAATGACAAATAAAAAACATGGACTTGTCTTCCAAGCAACTTTCAAAGGAGATAAGTTCCTGGAAATTGGAATGAAGATAAAATAACTGCTTGAATAATCACTCAGAGATTAGATAAATTATATATGGAAATGAGGGTAGAGATCTTTACATAGAGTTTCCTGGAAACAAGTTGTGTAGTAGTAAATGTTATTGCAAGGACTTGCTCCCCACATATATATGACAATCCATCTAAAGGTCCATGAATCCTCAACCCCTATCGATTTCATAACAAAATGTATCCTCCAGTACATGACCATCAACGTCCAAGCCTTGTTTCAGGAGTTCCAAACCCCAATCCTATACACCCTTATCCTCCACATATGGCCATGTGGCACGCTCCAGTTGTAGCCGGGAAGTGGTCCACTGGTCTTTGCCATTGCTGTGATAATCCTGCAAATTGTGAGCATATGAAATCTTGACTAGATTCACTACTTTTTTCTAGCTAAAACTTTCATTTGTACTAGCCTTTTCTTTAGTTATTAATAACTAGAACTTGAATTTTTTTTTCAAGGTATGATCACTTGCCTTTGTCCTTGCATCACGTTTGGACAGATTGCTGAAATAGTGAACAGAGGATCTACATGTAAGCCTAACATATCAATCAGTTGATTTTATTTCTCTGAAGATTTTCTTTTCAAGTCTCTGTTTTGTAGTTTTCTTTCATGTCTTAAACTACTTGTTCACTGGGTGGAGTTGCAGCATGTTGTATGAGTGGAGCAGTATATGCGTTGCTGATGGGTGCTGCGTGCCTCTACTCCTGTTGCTATCGCTCAAAATTGCGGGGCCAATATAACTTGGAGGAGGTTCCTTGTGTGGATTGCCTCGTGCACTGCTGCTGTGAGACTTGTGCCTTGTGTCAAGAGTATAGAGAGCTCAAGAGTCGTGGATTTGATATGGGGATAGGTACCATGTTTATACCTTTTCAGATATTTACAAGCTTTCTGTTTCCATCAACCTTTGAAAAAATAGATGCATGTAAATTTTAGCAGGATGACTCTTGCCTTTAGCCCTTCCTTAGCTACCAGTTGTTCACCAACAGATTGTTAGTATTTTATTACTCATTGACCTCATGATTTTCTTTCATTTAATCTGATCTTCAATTTCTTTGTTGGATGTCCATTATGGGATCAAATGAAGGCTGGGAAGCCAATATGGCTAGACAACAGCGTGGAATTACAGTGGCTCCAATCGTGCCACCAGACATGACAAGATGACAGAGATCCTTGCTCTGGTTTTATCAGCTTTTGTACTTGCACTTGCAGCACCTGTGTCTTGTATGTTGGTTTGCTTATTTGGATTCTGGAGTGTTTGATTGTATATATCATTTGGACATCAGTGAAAAATTTGAGAGAGTTCTGAAATTATATTCATCAGGAAAGGAAAATCTGCTATACCGCTGGTGCGGTATATGTCTATAGCTAGTATACAACTATACATATAGATTCAGATAAAAACATGTCAAATGATTAAAAGCATCCATGTTATTCCCACAAAAGCAAGGCATAACTACGCAGAGATGTTCACTATTCGGTGAACACTGAATAAGCGTTTTTTTCAAAAAAATAATAATAATAAAAAAAAACTGAACTGAAATAATTTTCGTTTTTAAGTTCAAATTCTTTTAAAAAAAAAAATCGATTAAAACCAAAAAACTGAAATTTTTTAAAAATACATATATCTTTCTTTTTTTTTTTTTAATCAGAATACTCACTGCACTCGTAATTCTCAAAATTGAAAAACCTTTCTCCTCCCTGTCTATGTTATAAGTCTGAATGTACATAAAATAACAAAGATATTAATAGATTTTATATCATTTCAAATTCAAGCCTTCTTGAATGGATAATTTATTATTTGTTTATCTACCAATGTTTTTTTTTATTTTTTTGAGTGCAATTTAATTTCCTAGCTAGTATTCCACACAAAACAGAAAAAAAACCCGCTTTAAATAAAAATTTCAAGAACTTCAATAAAATCAATCATTTGTAAAAATAAAAAAAAATAAAATAGATAAGAACTGAATTAACGAACACAGAAACCAAAATATTTCAAAACTAAACCGAAAATCGAATTTCAGTTTGGTTTCAGTTAATTTTTTTAAAAAAAAATTGATTAACCAAAAACTATTCACAATATTTCAAAACCGAACCAACCAATCAAAAGAACACCCCTATCCGTACATCCTTTCTGATGTTCTAATTGCCATGACAATTTATCAAAATTGAACCACTTAGGGCTCTTTCATAGAAAAAACTTCCTTGCTAATAATATAATTTTGACATCTGCAACTGGAAGCAATATAATTGGCTGCGGAAAACACTCAAAAATTTCATAAGCATACAAGTCTATATGGAAATTGTGTGAGAAAAGATATTTGCTTCCATCTGCTGCATTTGATTTCCACTAGATCAGAATGCAGTTGCCCACTCTCCTTCCCGAACAACAAAGAAAAAACAGAAAGAGTAACATTAAGTTAAGCAGCAGCAGCAGCCTGCAAGTTGAAATAATTATCTAAGAATCTTCTTTCTGCTTTTTTGATGAGGGCTCATTATTTGAGTTCTTCATCTTGGCTTCACGACGTTCTCTCTTCACTCCTTTAGATTTGTTAGGTAGTGCCATCTCTCCAATCTAAATACACAAAATCATTCACATCACAAACACTTCAAAGAAACAAAGATTCCAAATAGAGTGATACACTTTAAAACTAAACATGGGGAAAGAGACCACATCTAGCACAAGATCAGATTCACCCCGTGCTGCACACCAATCCTCAGAATGAATAAAGAATGAATAAATATCTACTTACCTTTTGGTCAGGAATATAAATCTTTCCAAGCTTCCCTTGTAGTGCATCTTTACTAACATTTTTAATCTGCAAGCAGAAATCAAGCAACATAAATGAAATGCCATATCATTCTCAGATAAAAGGGGGGTATGTAGCTAGCTAACCTTCTTATGAGTTTTATCTTTAGCAGTTTTCATGGCTTCTTTCCTTAAGCTTTCATTAGGAAGACGATGACGACGAACTACAAAATCCATGGAAGGGCCAATTTCTACCAGTTCTATCCTTGGGACTATTGTTCCAGACTTTTTTAGCCGCATAGCACAGTGAGTGAGGAACACCCGGTTCGAAGATATAGCTGTACATACATAAACACGGCCCAACCCAGCAAGATTCAAATTATCCACAACCTGCATGAATTGGGTCAAAGCTCCTTTTAGTTATATTTCAAAGTCAAGAAAGGCAGGAGCTAAGGATAGCAGAAACAAACCTCTCCCCGTAAGAGATCAAGCAAAACCTCCTTCAGATGTTTCAACTCATCCACGCTCTCAAATGCTTCTCCACTAAAAACAATAAAAGGTTTTGAACCTGCCTGCGGAGCTAGTTTCTTATCATAAGAGAAGGAATTCATCCGTTTAAAATTTTCAACCCCAACTTCTATAAGATCATATATGTGATGGTCATACGTTCGCCCTATGACAAGATTGTCAGGACGCTTCTTTGAGGTGGAACCATACTGCAAAATAAAGTCCAAAAGAAATATTTGAGTAGATGTGGCAATATCACATGTTCCAAGGCAAATAAAAGAATGATGCAAAGAAGGCAGCACTTTATTTCCAAAATCAACAGTGAGCAAATTCCATCCTAACCCACATAAAAAAGTAAGAAGGGAAAATAAGCAGACAGTGGAAAATTGCATGTGAAAATAGGGGGAAATTGAACAACAAAGTAATTCCAACAACAGAAAATGCACATAGCAATGCAGTTGTGGAAGATCACATCAAGTATTTTGCATCGGAAAGTTATAGCACAGTATCACAAACCTATGAACTGAATAAAAGGCAAGCAATCAGCAAGTAGCAAAGGAAGAAACAAAATAATAAACCTGTTAGTGCCTTCAGTTTATCTTTGGTCAATAGATGTGAAACTAGAGTTGGAGTCTGTACAGAGGAAAAAGGTTTAACATAATTGATAATTCATTATCTAAAGCTGTTTTCAAAAAAAGTTAAAAAGTTTCATGTGTTACAAAATTTCATATATTATGTAACTAAGAAAATCATTTCGGCACTTTAGCAGCATACTGAATAAACAACAGTGCCTCCAAAAATATTCCTCAACCTGCCTTCGAAAATAAGCATCAATGTTAGAAAAACAACATCATTCTTATTCCTCAATCCTAATCACATTGAAACAGAGAAAAACTCCAAATATCCCTCCTTACATAACCCATCACACTCGTGTGCCAAGTTCTACATCAAATCATGACAAGGTTTAGTTATGCACCAGGAATTACTACAATTTTTCTTATCTTCAAGCAACGAATGTATAAAAACAAGATTTAAAACCAATAAAATTTCATCACGGAGAAGCCAATATACATAACAACTATCAACATTAAACAACAAATGAGTTCATTCCAATTCAATTTAAACAAAAAAATGAAGCTTAGTTAACTTACCACAAAAATACTGCAATCAGTTTTCAAAGAAAAGAACTCCAAAGAAGTTTCGCCGCCTGACTCAAAAGGCCTTATACTATCATTCTTACGCGTATATCGAATCGCGTTATCTCTCTTAAGATGGAATATCTCACTCAATACAGTATTCAAAACATTACTTGTTTTTGTTCCTTGTAGTATCAGTGTCTTCTTACCTGTCTCAACCTGCATCAAAACACAAGAAAAGAAAGCCCCATTAAGTAAAAAAAATTATTATTTTTGAAAGAAAACAAAGAAAAAGTATGAGTGATTGGTTCGTTGTTGAGAGCTTACAAGTTTTGGTGCTCGTTTTTCAAGCTCACGCTTGACTCTTCCTTTCTTTGGGGTCTTAAACTTCAACATCACTGATTTTCTGATAAGATTTTCAGATTTCTTCTTCTTGTTGTCTTGAGTACGTGAAGGGAAAATTGAGAGAGGCCAGACCTGTGGGTTTTTTCAGCTGAGGAGAAGCTAAGCTAGGGTTTTTGGTTGTAATGTACGTCCGACTGCCAAGGAGGAGATTATTTGCTTTTTTTGGGCTGGTGAATTGGGTTTGGGCCCTTCTTTTTTGCTCTTTTGGGTTTGGCCTCTTTTTTGTTAACAATTTGTTAAATGGGCTTTGAAACTACGAAGGACTTCTTGTCTATATATATATATATATATATATATGTATCATTCTGCTATGGTTTTTGTTTCAAATTCGGAAGCATAAATCTCCGAAAATGAATGGCTGAAAGTTTAAAAAAGATTGCCAAAAATTATCCAAATCCAGTTTATGGTTCATTCTTGGAGCCACTACATGCATTCATTTTTAAAGATTTATGCTTTAATTTTTTTTTTTTTTTTTTTAGAAAATAACTCAAAAAAAAAAAAATTGACAAACCTACAAAAATGATGTGGTTCTTGACAAAACTAGGTTAGGATGGTTGTTGTTGAAAAACCCATGGCCAGATTTACTAGGGCTTTCAATACAAGTTCTCTTGATGAGATTAAGGGTCCTTTAATGCCTAAGTTAACAAATTTAGGGAGATATAAACCTAAAAAAACTATGTTACAACCGTTAAAGAGGGCTTGTGTGTGAGAAGAAGATGAATAAGATTAATGATAAGAGATTATGAACTCCTTATCTATCCTAAATCTCATGGCTAAGTATATAGTCATGAGCTTTCACAATTTGTATGGAGAGAAAGATAAATGGATCAATTCTTTGCCACCATATCTTCAAAGCATGATTAGAGAATAAGTGTCTTTGGAATTGATAAATTATTATTGAGTATGGATAATGTCATGATTACTCGTCCACTTCACTTGAATGGTTTAAAAAATGTTCATGCATTTGATGTAGGTGTGCATTTGATGTAGGTGTGACTTATCTTTTGACGTGAATAGTCCAAAAGATGTGCATGCATTTAATGTAGATACAATTTATCTTTATGGTTGGTAGAGGTAGGTGTCAAAAGGGACCTATGGAGCAACACGATAAATGGAGTTTGCCATCTAGTTAATAAAAAAAAACTAATAAAGATTCATCATCATCATCTCGTCCGACCTAAGGTAAGTTGTATTGAATGTATGCAAAATTAAAAGGTTTGGTTTATGTTATGCTATGTTTCTATGCCTATTTGAGCAAATTTATTCTGTTGGAATGAAATAGTAGAGTAATTTGGGGTATAGCCCTTAAATTTAGGCCGGATTAAGGATCATACCTATACTCAAAGGGGAAAGTTAGGAGGAGATTGAAATTTTGGCTAATCTTTAGTGAACACAAGCCTATATTAATAAATAGATGAGTTTGCGAAGATTGAGAGCCTATATTGACATGAATAAGAAGTTACCGACAACTTCACTCACATAAATAGGAAGCCCTCGCCAATTTTAGATCATGAGTTTAGGAAGATACCGACAACTTCATCATATAAGTAAAAAGCCACCGATAACTCGTTTCGCTCAAGCATGGAGTAGATAACTAGTTTGGAAATCACTAGCAGACTTCGTCATATAAGTGAAAAGCTATCGACAACTTTATTTTAAATGAACAAAAAATAGGTAAATTGATTTAGAAGCCACCGACGGCTTCATCTACATATGAGGAAAGCCATCAATGACTTTATTTCAATTGAATCGAAATTAGGTAAAATGATTTAGAAGCTATCAGCGGCTTCATCCACATAGGTGGAAAGCCATCGACAACTTCATTTTAATCAAACATAAAACAAATAAACCGATTTAGAAGCCATTAGCGACTTCATCCACATAGGTGGGATGTAACACCTTCAATTTAAAGACCTAAAGGAGGCCAAGAATGCTACCGGTAATGCCTTACACTCATAATGCAATGAATGTGAGATACTAAGCCTCATGTCCTCTACTATTTTGTGTATGAAAAATATAATATGCAATGAAAAATTATAAATTTAAAGTTTACGAAAAACGTGGGATAAGCTCATTGAAAGCTAATTTATATTTCTAAAATCATAAAACCATTTAACCACTTAAAACCAATTCAAATTTCATAATTGGAACCATTTAATTAAACCTATACTTGGATAAAACCATTTCATTACTTTACCATCTAAAACAGATTCATAAACTACCCAAACCCATACATTCATTATCATGCTAAAGTTGTCAAACAAGTACCTTTAGTTTACAAATCAAAATACTTAAACATTAAAACATAAAAGAGTCCATAAATATGAAAGGTAAGAGATGTTTAAACCTTTAACCTTAACCCTACATTTATAGTATGCATGATGGAAAATTGGGCTTCTCTCGACAACGACTTGAACTTCAAAACAAACCATCATGCATCATTTGGTTTACCTACATTATAAGATAAATGGTGAGCTAGGCTGATTAAGTGTAATCTATGCATGAAATGCAATTAAAACCATCATTTTCATGCTTGAAATTTATTTTTCTCTTTCAAACGCATCCTGTCGAATGTGTATATATTTAGCTCTCAATGAAAGATGTCCTTATGAAAATCATAAAAGCTCTAGACACATTCCCATGTATAATCCACACTAGAGGTTGATCATTCTCCTTGCATATCCCCTTGAATATGTCTAGCCATAAGTCTTGAAAACCATGAACATGACATTTCTTTCTTTTCTTGAAATCATGAATAAAAACGTTTTCATGATATGAACATGACATTAATGTAATTAAAATGCATTTCACAAGCATATATATGAACATCATTCAAGTACCATGAAACATAATTCAAATAGCATTAAACTTACCATGTGGTCGAAACTAATAACAAGCAATAAACCATGTCACATGAATAATAGTTAACTAATTAACCTCAATTAATCATATAACCCTAAATCATTAATTAACCTATAATTATTCAATTAATCCATATCCATAGAAAAACATATCTAATTTCCATCAAATATCACCCAAACCTAAAATCACCTAAGAATAACCACACAAAACCGAATTCTCTAAGAGGATATGTCTATGTTCAATCTTCAATTAACATATCTTCAAGGTTAAATCACCCAATAATCATGTGATTAAATATCCAAATAACCTCATAAACACTTAATCACCAACTAACATATGAAAATAAATTAATCAACCTTAAATTGTATTTGACCAAAACCTATTAAGTATAACCATAAATAATTAGTCCTCAATTAAACCTCTAAACATAACAATTCCATAAAATTTATACATTGTAATGAAATTACTCCCACCAATCATTAATTAAGGACATCATCATTTATAACATAACCATCAAATAAAACACCAACTCAAGTTCAATTAAACACCTAAATTTATCAATCCTAAAATATTTAAAATCAATTATCAATCAAACATAACAATCAATTATTGTGGTGTAGTTGGTACTACACTTACCTTAGGTCTAGCTAGCATTAATAATATTTTAAGAGCTTTTAAAATCTCTTCTCATTTCCTGGTTGTAACTCTCGACCAAACCACTAAAAATTCCTTTTCTTTCTTTCGACCAATTCTTCCTCTCTACTTATTGGCCAACTTGATTTTTTAAGTAGGTTTTAGTTTCTCTTCTAGTTGATTTTATGTTTACAATTTTAATTTTCACTTCCATGGTTTAGGACTTCCTCCCTTGTTCTTCTCCTCTATTGGTTGAATGCAGGAAATCAAAGGGCCAAGAATTGTCCACTTAGATGGACACTTGGATGGTTAGCCTTGTTCACTTAATTAGGTAAAACATCTAAATTTTTATTACTTAATCATATTAATTTCCTTAATCAAGTTGTCTTCTAATTATCATGTATAGGAATACCATTCAATTTTATTTTGATATTAATTCATGCATGAAACACTTACCTTAGTCAAATTTTCTAAGTCATTTAAATTTGTTCAATTTTACATATTAGTGACTTAAATTGTTCACTTAGTTCACTTTAGTCCCTAATCTTTTAATTATTTTACTAAGGTTCTTAATTTATACACATACTTATAAAACTTAACGAGTTTAGACTTGCAAAGCTAAATACTTATTAATGCAATCTCATACTATAATACCAACGCTAACATAAAACACGGTTTTCATGCAAACATAAAACTTAACTTTCACATACTTAAGAAAATTAATCTCATACCTACAAGTGTATAAACATGTTTAAGATCTTAGGTATTACATGGAAAGCCACCAAAAATTTCATTTCAATCAAACGAAATCGAGTAAATTGATTTATAAGTCATTGATGACTTCGTCCACACGAGTGAAAAGCCATTTACAACTTCATTTTAATCGAATAGAAAATAAATAAACTGGTTTGAAAGTCTGTATGAAGTTTTGATATAGGTAGAAAGCCACTAGTAGTTTCATTTCAATTGAGTAAAAAGTAAATAAACTAGTTTAGAAGCAATAAGCAACTTCAACCACATAAATAGAAAGCCATCAATAACTTTATTTCAATTGAATAGAAAGTAAATAAACTAGTTTGGAAGCCACACACGCTTTTGACCACATAAGTAGAAAGCCACCAGTAACTTCAATTTAATTAAAAAGAAAGTTAGGTAAAAATTTCAAACATAATCGGACAAAGTATTTAATAACTTAATCATCCATAACACAACATGCTCATTTATCATTTTTTAAGCAATCTCGATAGGTTTAAAAATTAATCAAATGTTGCAAGAGTGTTAATGGTTTATATTTGAGTCTTACTTCTTTCAATCTTGATGACAAATACTTATTTTAGTCGATCAAGAAGGAGGAAATAACTATTCTTGAGCTATTTTTCAGTTTTGTTTTGTTCGACTTAAAGTTCCATTAAAAAAAAAAAAGTCTTGCTTTATCTGATCTAATATTCTTGTTCCACTATCAATAAATAGTAACAATAAAAAATTATGGTCTACCA